TAGACGGGGTGCGTTCGTGTAGCGTTCGGGGTCGGATGGAACGGGACGGGGTGGGTGTTGCCTACCAGGCACGATGATTAATTAGCGTTTGATGAATATGTATGAGGGAGAAGGCGAACGCGACGCGTATATATAATACAAAACGGAGTGGCGGAGGTAGAGTCGTCCCTTGCATCACAATGACTTGGTGCGGCGGTACATAAAACGCGATGTATCACGGTATCACATATTTAATTTCAATCATGCGATGTACCTATATAAATTCGAATCACTCCTTTTTCGCCCGTGTATTTTGACTTCGAAGTCAAATCGTTGAATCAAAAGTAGCATATTAGACCGGGCGCTCGTAACACAAATAAATGGAACAATTTTTTACACTCTGCCATTGATAGGGGAAATATTTACAGCCACAAGCTGTAGATAGATGTACTTAAAAATCTTCGTTACGTGTTAATGCATACTTAAACATTAACTTTAGTTAGCAAAAAGAACGTAGTTTCTTGAAACAACTTTCAAACAGTCTGCCATTTATTTGAGCACAAGGCAAGATTGCGCGATCCATGAAAAGCTTATTGGCAGATGGTTTTCTCCAGTACAAGAATAAAGCGTACTTATGTTAGTTAGCAATTAAATCGTATAAGAACAATCGTCTAAGAACAATTTTTTACAATCTGCCAAGCTCAATTTAGGCTAATGTTAGCGTAAAGTTGACGAAATTTCACAAGGCAGACTGTTTGAAAGTTGTTTCAAGAAACTACGTTCTTTTTACTAACTAAAGACTATATTGCTTGCTGACGAACGACGGTCCCCGAACATGGCGAACGCGCGGGGTAGCGACATACGGTTGTATAAAAAAAAGAGAGAATGAGGGACGGACGTCAGGGATGGGCAGGACGGTGTCACGTCGTACGTACGGTACACCCCAGAAGTCGATTCGTTATTAATGGGGATCAAACACCATTCGAAACTGTTTTGTTCTGTACCAGCTTTATGTACACATTCTGGGTAATGTGTGCACACACCCCCCTTTTAATAATGCCGGATGATCTATGATCCAGGCGATCGTGTTTTTCCAAACAGATTACGGACGATCTCTTCGAGAACCGTATGGTACCTTATTGTAATTCTTGTTGTTTTGTATTTCATGTAGTGACAGTAGCTTCGGGAACCCCGACTGTTTGCGAGAATCACTAGAAGAATCGATGTACTCGGGCAGGACGGTGTCATTGGTTCTCGAAAATCTCGAAGTAGACATTGTCAGGTATTCGGAATCGTTGCTTATTCTTAAGATCGTCTTAAGGATGTATTGGCTATACAATCAATCCCAAAAGTTTATGTACCTTAGAAAAACGCATTTCCTATAATTAAAAAGAAATCAGACGTCGGAAGAACAATGCTAATAATAAATAGCTACATGCTAAAAAGTATAGAAGGAAATATCCAATTAAGTAT